CCGATACCCCGAGCCTCCGGAAGTTGCGGGGAGTTAACAACAATGCCCTGCGGCCCATGTATGGGCCAGGTACTAGTGGTTTAAGGCGGCACGTGTTTTGGCCCGCCCATTCGGGTTACTGCGTGTTCGGGATGCTGGCGAGTGGGGAGCGATTGAAACCCCCCACGGGTGCCCGTCACGGCAGTCAAGAACCTTGAGCTGCGAGAGGCGGTTAACGGAGACCCAAAATTTCAGCCTTTTTTTAATGCTATTTATAAGAAAACCCAAAAATCTTTTCAACCAAAAATTGCATCATTCCATAGAGTGCACAACATATTACCAAACCAAAAAAAAAAAAAAAAAAAAAAAACTAAAAACAAGGTGAAAAGGTAAGGCAAAAGTAAACCTTAATGAAATTTTCGTTTTAGAGAACTTTCAGAATTTTCAGCGTTTTTTGGAAATGGTCACGACTCACAAGACTCACAACAGACAATTCCAATGGACAAAAACACTTCAGAACATTAAGAAATGGTCACCAGACCTAGGCTACTAGAGTGGTCCGGGTCCACTTGCCCAGCCGGGCCAAAAARARAAAAAAAAAAAAAAAAAAAATCTAATTTTTAATTTAAAATTTTATTTTAAATTTGGTAAAGAATTTCGCTATGACCCTGGATCAAAAGTTGTTCAGTTTAGTTTTCTTCATAACATAGTGTTTTTTTTTTTTTTTGGCTCGGGCCTTCCCTGGTTCCTGCACAGCCGGGCCGCCCGGAAAAATAGGGTTACCCAGGCGGCCCGGCTGGTAGCCTAGCACCAGACTGAATTCCAACAGTAAAAAAATAAAGTCATAAAAAAAAAAAAATTCATGGCGCCCGGCTAGGTTGTTTTTCCGGGTCCCCGGGCACCCAACTTGTGCCCGGATACATGCCCGGGTGCCCGGCCGGGCATGGCCCTCGGGCAGGGTCCCGAACAGCCCCAGCGCAAAAAAAAATAAAAATAAAAAAAATCCCGAAAAACAATATGGTGTGTATAATTGCAATACAAACAACTTTTGGCCGAGGGTCACATCAGAATTCCTCACCGAATCGGAGATAAAAAATAAAATAACACAATCACACTAAAGGACTCCCATTTAACCCCTCTTAGCCCTTTTAAAAATAATTTATACCCGCCTTGACCCCCCTGGACAGCCAACTCTCAAAAAATGAAACGAGCCCGGATTTGGGTTCCTCTGGGAAAGCGCAGAAAGGCAAAAAAAAAACAATTTTTTTTTTTATTTTTTTTTTTGCACTCTAAGGTACCCCGGGCGTCACGCGCGGGTGCCGGACATAAGTAATGCATGCACAAGTTCATTGAGCACAAGGCTTCGGTGAGAGTGCGCTTCGGAGACGTGAGACACGTAATCCAATGGCAATACATTCAGCATCAGAGAGAGATATGGAGAAAATGAAGGAGGGAGGAGAGAGAAGGGAGAGGAAGAAGATACTAACAAAGCCTGACTCGCGGAAGAGACAAGGGCGCATTATTGTACTCGCTTGATAAAAAATAGTGAGGAACAGGAGCGAGATTTGCGAAAAATGCCCGACATGTTTCGGCCACCTCGCAAAGTGGCCCTCATCAGGGGCAAAACGCGCTTGCGAGCAGGTACCTCGTTGCTTCTTAAATATTGTCTTGACCCGGTATCTTCGAATCATACTACTTCCGGGTAATCGCTCCGAGTACTCCATTCTGCTCACTTCGAATGTCGTCGTATGCGAGAAAAAAATATACGCGTCAGGGGAAAGAGGTGCGCAGGAGAATGGAGTGGGAATGACACAGACTGTACCACATCACGGGGGACGAGAAGAGAGAAGGCGGGTAGAATCAGTCTGGAGACGTCGGAAGAAGAGACGCAGCAGGAGAGCGGGAAAAGACATAAGGGGAGGGGAGGTATGCGGATCAGAAGGACAACGTGGCAGTTTGGCGGAGGTACCCCGATAGGCAGCAGAGAGGACAAGACCCCATAGATCGGGATAGATGTGACGTGGTGATGCGAAAAGATCGGGAAGCCGAGAGGCAGTAGATACGGTATACGTGCCAGGCAAGCAACAAGACGACTTGGCCAGATAGCAGACAGTGGCGGATATCGATCTTCGCCAGCAGGGGATTCAGCCTCGGGAAATCTCCCGACAGTACCTTCTGACAAGATTCCTAGTCAGCGATCCCGGTACCCGTGGTGTTGTCCTACCGAGCAAAACACCCTCCAGATCCTGCGGCCTGGTCCCTTCTTAGCCCTTCACTGAAAAAACGCACCCATCCATCCCAGCACCCCCTGTGAACTGTGGAGAAGTCCCTCAACGCTTTTAGGAACATCCAGTGAGGAAAACGTTTAATCATGAGTTCACGTCTCAAAGACAGCAGACATTGGCCCACTCCCCTGTTATCGGAGGAGTGGGCCATGATCCGACTGAGGTGGCATTTCACGATGCCGATTTTCTGTACCTTGGGGTCGTAGGACTAATAGTCCTGTGTGGATTGGAATGTAACCCTGCCCTTGCTCCAGATATCCCTCTGGTTCTTCATCAGTGCTTCACAATGAACTGCAGGCGGGATCGCCTGTGTAATCACCTGACAACCCAAAAAGTCAAATATTCCATCCTTCTCGTCAGTTCGGACTAAGGTAAGGTTCTGATGGTAGATGAGACGAAATTTGGAGTAAACAGATCTGGCACAGTCTAATACAACCTGAGAAGAGCTGGGAAGAATAAGGAATAAGACCACATCGTCAACCAGCCTAAGTCCATCGATCAAGCAGCGATCTTTCCCTAGAGAATTGAGAAAGGAGAATTCATGGAATGCGCAGAGCAAACACGCTAGCGAGGGACTAGAGCTCTTCCCCATAGGAATTCCCACGATCTGTCGAACTATGAAAGAGGAGACTTTGGAGAAAGAGTGTTGTAGGTCAAACTTGATGAAGTCAATGATAAAGCTGAAGTTCATCCTAACCCAACCTTTCTCCCCAAAACCTTTCCCAAGTACAATTCCCTTCCCCAATCTGTTTATCCTGGCAGCATTGTGACCTTTGGAAAGAAAAAAGTCACACAACCATTCAACAACTTTAATAATTTCGTCGCAGCTTTAATAATTTCGTCGTGAGGTAATTTAGTGAACATATCCTTGATGTCGAAGGTAGAAGACAGCAGCATGCCGTTCCTCATTCTCCCTACCTTCCGATCCAATTTGTCGATCCTTTTCTTGAGGAGGTTCGTACTTTTCAAATTGAAATGAGATGTCTCAGGAATTCGCCACAGCAGGCCGTTGATGACTTTAGCCACAAGTTTACAGACTTTAATGCTAGGTTCGGAAAAAAGATGGAGCAATGGGTCTCCATTTGTTGACGTCCTTGTGTTTAGGGATACCGTACGCCTTCCCCAAACTTCCCTTGCTGTTCCAAGTTGCTAGCGTATGGGCGTGTACTTCGAGGTACCCAACCTTGCAGGCCATCAAAATTTGCTCTTCGGAACGCTGTTCGACAACGAAACCTTCGCTACCCCAGTACAAGTTCTGCAGAGCTTCGTAGTAAATAGAAGCACAACAGACAAAAGAGTCACCTACGTTGTGATCTAGAGGTGTGATCACTAAACCTTTCACTCTACTTTCCCATGCACACAAATCATCTCAGCCACAGTCATCAGTAGGGGTCCTGATGGAAAAACAGGAGCGCATATCAGAGATCCCAGAAACGCGATCATCGCTATGGGGAACTTCTGCCAATCCTTCGGACAAAGCTTTCTTTAACCTACCCATAGAGACGGACGCTCGAGGCTGCAATATGTTATTAGCATTCTTAAGAGACACAGGCACATCTTCCAACTGTGAAAACCGGAACATAACATGATCGTCGTCGTTCCTTGGGAGCACACAGTCCGTATTGGAACATGAGCATGCCTCAGATGCCGTATACGGCATTTTCCAGTGGTTATGCAGTACATCAGCCACCGAACAGTTCCCTGTCCATACTACTCTCATCCTTTAGATTATGAAATCTGCAAGACAGTCATTATGACAGCGTTTACGGATAATGCTCTTGGCTAAATCACCAACTTTACTCCTCGAGATGCGATCATCGTACCTTATTCGAATGACAGCAAGAGCCAGACATCGAAAACCAGTTTTTTAGTGAGAGCATTCCCCACGACCCCTTTCAAAATAGCCTTAGATCTGTCCTTATGAAATAACTCAATGAAATTGTAGAGCTTGATTAAATGATTAAGTTTCGCCTTGCCCAAGTCCACCCTAGTACTGGGTACACTCAATAGTGAGACTAGTATGTCCCGTCTCAGGCTGGACAGGCTACCTCTGCGTTTAATCTTAAGGAAAACAAAAACACCCCCCTGACAGAACTGTTCCTTAAGATACTTGAAAATAGTCCTCTCTCCCCCCATGTCAACAATAGACCATCCAAACGAGCGACACAGCTTACCCCATGAGTCGAAGAACCAGTCACCCTGAGAACTCGCAACGATAATCTGAGATTTTTCGTAGTCCAGGACTCCATTTAGAATATTTAGGAGGGAAAAGGAGGCATACGATGGGTTCCATGCATCAGGTACGGGGAGCGACACAGACGAAGAGTTCCAACGAATAATCGTGCCAGAGCCCACAGATCAGGGTGCTCCAGCTCTCTGCTTCCTTAAAAAAGATAAGCGTTCCCTGCGCCCTTTCCTCTTACAAAATTTCCTCTTTCGTTTAACGCAGTTGAGAACGGGAGACCATTTAGAAATCAGTGTACTTTCGATGTTTCTTATCTCATCCATCGACGGGAAGGCAATGGGAATAGCAACGTAACTCTCCCAATGTTTACGCCTGAACCATCGACGTAGTCTATGGTTTCTTCCATCCCCACTCCGCAACGATCTACTGACGTGTCCTTCCCATCTAATCCCCAGATTCCTAGCGGTCGACCCAATGTATGTAGCTTTGAACCATCGCGACACGAGGACATACACACAAGGACCGTCACATTCACACATTCGAGCCCCATTTCTTAGTAACAGTCTTCATTCATCCGCATACTTCTCAGTCCAACAGAGAAGATGGGACAGAGTCAGGAACAGAACCAAACAACGCATATGCTGATCCAACCCCCTTGCCTCTAACCCCGCCAGCCGACCTTTTGTCTCTCCGTCCGTAGTCCATCCAGGATCGCCCACGCAGAGGGCGCATCTAGAGATCATCAAGAGGGGTTCTCCTCTTGAACGTCTTCCTCAGATTCTTCGTCCTCGTCTTCCTCTCCGTATGCATCAATGCCCCGCAGACGAGTCAGTGCTGCGCTCGTGATCTTATTATTCACATACTTGATTTTTTCCTTCTTACACAACTCCTCCAGTTCATGCTTCGACTTGTTGAACAACACCTCAGTCAGTTCTTCAACATACTTACTCCTTCCCTTTTTCCCGGGTTCCGCCACCGCAGCTTTCTTCCCCTTGTTGATCCTGTCGAAGCCGAGCTCCTGCGGTTCAGCACCTTCATTGCTGAAGATTCCAGAACGGCGCCGTGTGTTTGCCACAGAGGCGAACATTCCCGCGAGTCTGGAAGAGAAGCCACCACCTGATGGCATTTGCTCCTGCCCCGATCGTGTCCTGGACAGACCAGGCGCCGTAGCGCCACCTCTTCGATTAATATCTGATGGTGGAGGAGGGGGAGCCGGCGGAGGGGAAGATGGTGTAGCAGGTGTGGGGGTGGGTGGAGGAGGAGGTGGGGGTTGAGGAGGGGCAGGAGGATCAGGAGGATGAGGAATAGGAGGAGGATGGTTATGAGGAGGTACAGCGATCAAAGGATTAGGATGAATAGGAGGAATAAAAGTATGGGCAGGGGGAGGAGGAGGAGGAGGAGGAGCGTAGCTACAGCTGGCGCCCTGTTCATGAATCGCCTGTAGGCAGTTTAACATTTCACGGAACATCGCTGCTTGGACGTCCTGAGCCTTCCTTAATGAGTCGATGTCCATTCTGATTAAGCCAGTATCAAGTGGAGCAACAGCAGGCTCGACTCGAGGTCTGCCTGTCTCTTGCTGTGGAGGCTTCGTGCCTCCTCCCGCCATAGTGCCCTGATTCCGCTTCTTGCTGTCACATTCCCCTCCTTTGGCATTGTCCCCGTTCTTAGATGGCGATTCAACCTTCTCCCAGTTACTCTTGCTAACCTCGCCGCTACTTCCCTTTTTCTTAGCCTCAACTTCCTCCATTTGCTCTCGAACAATGCGAGCTAAACGAGCTTCTCTTTCTTCCTCCCGCTTTGCTTCTTGGTCCAGCCTCCGCTGCTCTTCCTCGCGCGCCAGCCTAGCTTGTTCCTCCCGTGCCCGACAGTCATCTTCTTCACGTCTTCTTTCACGCTGTTCCCGTCACTCATTCCAGATTTCCCTGAGAATCATCAACCCTTCCCCATCGCCACCCATCTCACGTGGCCGATTGTTCCACCCTCGACCTCCATTGGAGCTGGGAACAGAAAAAATGCAGCCTAAAAATTAATAAATTTATCATAGGGCTTGACGTATATAAGGTGTTTGTTTCATTTTTTCATCTGTTTTTATAGGGATTCTTATGTGATCGTAGGACATCTGATGGAAGTCAACATTGACGTATATAGATATGAGAGTCTTCTGTTGGTTATACGTTGAGAATACGTTGGTAATGTGTTGATCATCTATTGGGAATCGAATATTCGATGCTAACCATCTGTATATTTTATGTTTGTACACAAAAATAGAAGAACCACACAAAAAATAAATAAATTATTCATCGTATACTACTCACTCTGTTTCCTACTCCATTCCCATTTCCCTCTACTAAAACCCACCCCTTCCCCTCCTCACCCTTCTCACCCTCCCCCTAGGGACATAACACTGATTGTTGTCATTTTTTTCTTCCAAAATATTGCATATTCGTTATTTTACAATGTTGTACTTTTATACGCTAGTGTGG